ACACCTCCAACTTTGCAACAGGGGCAGTCCTCTCTCAGCTCCAGTCAGACGGAGACTACCACCCGGTGGCCTTCATGTCTAAGAGCTTCTCAGAGGTAGAAAGGAACTACGAGATCTATGACAAGGAGATGCTCGCCATAATACAAGCACTTGAAGAATGGCACCACTTCCTAGAAGGAGCCCCAGAGAAGTTGCCATCTTCACAGACCACAAAAACCTCTCATACTTCCGGATGGCCCAGAGGTTGAACCGGCGACAAGCATGCTGGTCCCTCTACCTCTCCCGCTTCGACTTTGTGCTGACCCATTGCCCAGGGAAGCTCATGGGGAAGCCGGATGCTCTGTCATGCAGAGCAGACCACCCTCGAGGAGAAGGAGACAATACAGGTGTAACCCTACTGCACCCAGAGTGGTTCGAAGTCCGAGTGACCGAGGGGGTGTTGATGGAAGGAGAGGATATGGATATGTTGAAGAGGATCCGAGAAGGGAAGGAACATGATGAGGCAGTGGCAAAGGCCTTAAGAGAACTAGGAAAAGGTTCTCTGCACCTGGACAAATGGGATAGAGATGGGGACCTGATCCTCTACTGGGGGCGAGTATACGTCCCCAAGGACCCCCAGCTCCGCCATGACCTGGTGAAGTTGCACCATGACTCGGTCCCAGCAGGACACCCAGGCAGATGGAAGACTCTGGAACTGATCTCCTGGAACTACTGGTGGCCAGGACTGTCACGATACATAGCTAGTTACGTCTCAGGCTGTGACACCTGCCAACAGGCAAAATCCTTCCCCTCCCAGAAGGTCAGGAAGCTCATCCCAAACAAAGTGCCCTCCCACCGATGGCAGATAATCGGACACCATAGGTGAGCTCCCAGAGTCCAAGGGCTACAATGTGATCCTGGTGGTAGTAGACCGCCTCTCCAAGAGGATCCATGCTGTTCCTACCGTCACCACAGTGGACTCTGCAGGCATAGCCCGGCTGTTCCTGGAACATGTCTGGTGACACCATGGCCTTCCGGAGGAGATCCTGAGCGACCGAGGCACAGCCTTTGTGTCCAAATTCTCCAGTGAGCTGGCAGCACTCCTAGGGATCAAGCTCACCCCATCCACCCCATACCACCCACAAACAGATGGGCAGACAGAATGTGTCATATCCGTGCATACCCGACCCCGACCCGACTTCCGGACCTCCACCCTCTTCACCTCCGGAGTCATAACCTACCGTTGCCGTTCCGATACTCACCTTCGGTCTTGGCAACACACCCCTCCTCTTACCTCTCCGTCCGTTCCGATACTCATCTCGGACCGAACATCGCCCTACTCGCCACCCTTCCTACAACTCCGCTCCCCCCTCACAACACCTCCACCCTCCCGTCATCCCCTACGCTTTCTCCGTCCGTTCCGATACTCACCTTCGGACCTGACTACTCTTCCTTACCTGTCCCCTCTCTCCTTCCTCCGTCACTCCTCCGCCACCCTTCCGCCAAGTTACGACCATCCACCGCTGTTCCGTACTTCACACTCGGACACCGTTCGTACCTTACTCCGAGCCTCCGTCATAGTCCATACCTCGGACTTTGACTCCACCTCGGTCTTAGTCCATTGCATTGGTGACCTCATACTACGTAAACACCATTGCCAATATTCCTCGGACTTCCAACCCCGCCTCCGTAACCTCCGTAAGCTCCGCAACCCCCAAGCTTCGCGGACCGCCTCCGGCACTCTCGCCGTTTGTAATGTATTTCTCGCAATTCCCCCTCATCCCTATTTGGACTACTGCTTCCTTCTATTCTAGCCAGTTAGTCATCACCCCCACTTCCCCTCATCCTCCTGCCCCTCTGGGCCTCGCCCACTCTACCTCCTTTCGGATGTATCACAGGTCTTGCCCTATGACCTTCGGTACCACTCCGCTCCCTCTAACCCTTTGTTCCCGTTCGGACGTCTTCGTTCCGATTCGGTCACCCTTTGTTCTCCTTGTGCTTTTGCCCCTTCCTTATATATATCGGTGCTTGTACATACTCGTCTGTTTTCAGTCCGAAATCGACCTGAAATGCCCCCAAGAGACTTCCTGCTCACCTACTGTGAAATTAAGGACCAAATGGACAAACAGCAATGGCACAGCGCTCCGCTTGAGTCGCTGAGGCCAAGGTCCCTCCACGCTAAGTCTCCGATTCCACTCCGGAGTCGTCCATTTCCGCCCATCTCTAACAGAATGCGTGAACCAAGAGATCGAAGCCTACCTCCGTGTCTTTGTCAACCACTGGCAGGATGATTGGGCTGACTGGCTCCCACTAGCTGAGTTTGCATACAACAACCGGGTCCACTCAGCCACCCGCTGGACCCCATTTGAGCTCGACTCAGGACAACACCCCCGGATGGGGACTGAGCCAACCCGCTCCTCTGATGTCAAAGCAGCAGATGCCTTTGCCTCCTGGATGATGAAAATGCAGGAAGAGGCGGAGGCAGCACTAGAGCATGCAGCAGATGAGATGGCCCGGTACTATGACAGGAACCGGAAGGCTGCCCCAGAGTACAAAGAAGGGCAGAAGGTCTGGCTCAGCTCCTGAAACTACACAACCGACTGACCAACTAAGAAGCTGGACCACAAATGGATTGGCCCCTTCTGCATCACCAAGGTGGTGTCCCCAGCAGCTGTGAAGCTGCAGTTCCCCACCCAGCTGAAGGGCGTCCACCCCATAGTCTTGGTCACCAACATCCACCCCTACCTCCCAGATGAGATCGCCAAGCGCACAGCAGACCCCCACCCTGGCCCAGAAGTTATTGATGGAGAAGAAGAATATGAAGTAGAGAAGGTCCTAAACTCTAGGTACAGGTACGGAAAACTCTGGTATTTTGTTAAATTCTCGGGCTGGCCAAACTCGGAGAATGAATGGCTCCCCCACAAAAACTTAGAGCACTCTCAAGAGCTCATAGAAGAGTTCCACCGATCCCACCCCGATGCCCCAAGACGAGAAAGGCCCAATAGAACCCGCCAGCCAAGACATCCAGCCGCTCCAAGGCGAAGCGGCATAGAGGGGGGGTGATGTCAGGGCAACCACACCTGACCATACAACCCCAGAACCACCTTCCCTGACCTCCCCCCACTTCCCTCATCCTCCCATCTCCACACACCTTTCACAACTACAGCCCGCATGCGAACCCATGGGAAAAATCACGTGGGTCAAGGCGAGCAACTCGCCTTCTCGCCTTAACCCATGTGACACCTTTTCCACATCGCAGGAACGTGCTTGGTGTCATATCCGTGCATACCCGACCCCAACTCGACTTCCGGACCTCCACCCTCTTCACCTCCGGAGTCATAACCTACTGCTGCCATTCCAATACTCACCTTCGGTCCTGGCAACACACCTCCTTCTACCCCCATGCCACCTCTACTCCTCCTTTCCTCTCTGACCCTATCTCCATCCGCTCTGATACTCACCTTGGACCGAACACCGCCCCTCTCGCCACCCTCCTACTACTACTCCTCCTACTCCGCTCCCCCTTCACAACACCTCCACCCTCCCATCACCCTCCTATGCTTCCCCCCGTCCGCTCCGATACTCACCTTCAGGCCTGACAACTCTCCTTTCTGCCACTCCTTCTTCCTTACCTTTCCCCTCTCTCCTCCCTCTGGTACTCCTCCACTGCCCTTCTGCCAAGTTATGACCTTCCCCCACTGTCCCATACTTCGTACTCGGACACCGCTCGTACCTTTGCTCCGAGCCTCCATCATAGTCCCTACCTTGGACTTTGACTCCACCTCGGTCTTAGTCCATTGCATTGGTGACCTCATACTACGTAAACACCATTGCCAATATCCCTCGGACTTTCAACCCCGCCTCTGTAACCTCCGTAAGCTCCACAACCCCTGAGCTTCACGGATCGCCTTCAGCACTTTCACCACTTGTAATGCATCTCTTGCGTTTACCCCTCATCCCTATTTGGACTACTGCTTCTTCCCATTCTAGCCAGTTAGTCATCATCCCCACTTCTCCTCATCCTCCTGCCCCTCTGGGCCTCGCCCTCCCTACCTCCTTTTGGACGTATCACAGGTCCTGCCTTATGACCTTCAGTACCGCTCCGCTTCTTCTACCCTTTGTTCCCGTTCAGACATCTTCATTCCGATTTGGTTTCCCTTTGTTTCCTTGTGCTTTTGCCCCCTCCATTATATATATCAGCGCTTGTACATACTCGTTTTGGTTCAGTCCGAAATCGACCTGAAATGCCCCCTAGAGACTTCCTGCTCACCTACTGTGAAATTAAGGACCAAATGGACAAACAGCAATGGCACAGTGCTCCACTTGAGTCGCTGAGGCCAAGGTCCCTCCACGCTAAGTCTCCGATTCCACTCCGGAGTTGTCTGCATCCGCACGGTTCTAACACTCGGCTCCTACCCTTAGTCATGTTACAAACTGTATAGTACATTTCCCTTTTATAGTAGCCAAGCAGGGAATAGGGAAACTTACCCTTCTTCTCAACTCAATCCCCGCTTAGGCAAGTTGTAGCTACCTTCCATAATACATGACAACTCAATCCCCACTTAGTGAGTTTGAGGAGCTTGGGGTAGGATCCAGCACTTGGCTGCCTGGGACACCGCAAGTGTCCAGTTCTGAGGTAGGGCCACCCCCAGACAGAGGCCGGGCCCTGACACTCAACTTCCCACTTCAGACTAAGTGGTCGGGGATGCTCACCCCATGATGGGATCACCACTACACACAGCCAACATCTGTCCCACGGAGTCCCTCACACCAAGACTTCACCACTTTCGGAGCTGTCCCTGACAGGGGTCGGGATTCCGGGATGTGACAATCCTTGTAGATACTGGAAACCTCAGTTAGAAAATCAACTCAAGTTATCCCCCTTTCCAGATGAATCTCCAGTCTGTAAATTAGGGCACTGATATGTTACTGGGCACAGCACTCCTGGCTGAGTTACTGAGGCCACAGCCCTCTGAAACACTGAGTCATTCTCACTCATTCAGAATCCAGTCTTTGACAACATGGCAATGGTCTGTCTGCATGACATTCCATTGTTCCTTGTGAATATGTGGACCACAGGGGAAAAGCAATTTTATGCCCTTGCTCTCTTATCAGCACTCCTGCAGCATATTCCATCATCTTGGAAAGTTGGTGTTCTATACAATATTGGATGCAGATGGATCACATGCTCAAAAAGTGGGATTTTGCCCCAGAAAGAAAGGAGAGGAAAGAAAAAGTTAACATGGTCATGGGAGACTCCATTCTCATAACATACACACTTCAGGTAGAAATCTACCTGTGATTACCTGTCAGGGCACACACCCTGACTAGCCGGACCCGGACCCACATGTGCACTCCACCCTGCACACTCCACATGCTGCATGCTCCAGGCCCCGGTTCCCATCTCCCATGTGGCTTCTGGATATCTCCGGAAGTTTTTGCCATATTGTGGCCATGTGTCAGGGCCCGGCCCTCATTCCGTGACGGGCCCAAGGGGATCCTCTGAGTCGCTGGGGTATCTAGTCCCAGTCCGAGGTCTTCAAACTCACTGAGGGGGCTAGCCCCAGCCTTCACAGGAAATGAGTTGAGAAGAAGGGTAACCTTCTCAACCTCCTGTGAAGCCGCTACAAATGGGAGCTGGGAACTATACAGTTTTCGGCTCTTTGCCGACTTTCCATAATTGGCACCCCCATGGGAAGATTCTGGGCAAGCAGCTTGCCCAGAAAGTTCCCATGGTTGTGGCTGTGATGGTTTCTGGGCAAGTAACTCACCCAGAACATTCCCATGGTCTGCATGCATGCAGGATTGTGGAACAGTGAAGGGAAAAATAGGAGAAAATGGGGGAAGGGTACCTGAGGGTGTGTGGGGTCAGGGGCTGTGCCCTGACACCATGGAAAGTGAGAAGTTAACCTTCTTCTCACTTTCTTACCCACAGTAGGATTATGCCCTGGACAGGGCTGTTTACAGGATAGACTGTGGACTGTAGAGAGGGGTCATGGGTGTCATATCCATACCAACTCTGCCCAACCTCCAACCTACTCCACCACCTTTCCAGTTCACTCCTGGTTTGCCCTCTCCCTCACCTCTGCCATATCCTCTGGTACTTCCGTCCACCTCTGCCTCCAATCTCTGGTACCTTCTCCGGTACCCCATCTCCTCATCATAGAAGATTATTAATATTTCTATCTACCCAAGTTCGCCAACCTGGCAGGTGGGTAAGTCCTTCTCGGGTTTTCCCTTTCTTCTCTTATTTGTCCTGTATTATGTATATAGGTTATGTACCATAGTTGATGACACTTCAGTGCAAAATCAATGACTAGATCCCCCCAGAGTTCATGCCTCCCTGTTCTGAAGTTAAGGACCCAACAATAGCCTAATTGAATGTTGGCACAGTGCTCCCCTCCAAGTCGCTGAGGCCATGGTTTCCAACAATGGGGACCCAGGGTTCATCCCCTGACATTACCTTACAGTGGCTCAATATGTTCATCATGCATGGAATCTCACTCTGTCATGAACCCACCTGGGGATAGGTCCAATCGCTGCCCAGGCAGGTGCTGTCTGATGGAGCTCAGTGTTCCAGGTCATTCAATGGTAGGTCGGAGACTGACTGGAGGTGGGGCAGAGCTCCAAGGGTGACAGGGTGTTGAAGGGACTTGGCTTCAGCGACTCAGAATGGAGCACTGCACCCATTACATTCTTGTTGTCCCCAATTTGTCAGGGGGGCTGGCGATGGAGGAACTGAGGCTGCCAGCGGGAAGGGGTCTGAAGCCCCCCCTCACTACTTAACAATGGAGGCGTTAGCGAGGGTCAATTGTTCATCATGCCATTCATTGGGTTTTATACCAAGGCACCCTTAGACATGCCTGTTACTCAGTTCTTGGTTCAGGGTGGAGTAGCAGATGAGTGGAATGCAATAGACATCCTGGAGAGGGTTTGGATTCAAGGGCTTAAGACTTATATTATAACTGGGGGGAACTATTTACTAGAGGGGTACACATGTACATATATCAGAGACAATTGGATCTGAAGGTAAACAAAGGTTACCAAGGGGAAGGAGAAGTAAATAGAAAGGAATCCACAAGACAAATAAGGAATAGGCAAAAAGCCTGAATTACGTCTGAAGTTTGTGGAGTGGGAGGATTAGAAGCCAACTGAATGGTAAGGCCTGGGCCTGTCTATGAATGAGTAGGGGACTACAAGGAAGGCGTCTGGAAAGGTCTGGAGCCTGGAGGTTGTAGTCTGGAAGATTGGGGTTGTAGAAAATATCAAATGATAAAACAATAAAGAATAACATGACCAGAGGTAAGGTAGGGGTGGGGAGGTACTGGAGGTAAGGAGGTACCAGAGGTGCATGACCAGAGGTGCCAGAGGTACAGAGACCAGAAGTAAGAAGGAGGGTGTGTGTGTGTGTAATTCTCGATATTTTACTTCCCATAGAGGCTGCCCATTAGGGTGCCAAGGGGAAGGGGTGAGGCCCAAGGCATATTATCATACATTTTTCTATACTCAAGTTCCACATGATTCTAAGTTCCCAGATAACACCAATATCGTTTGCCAATGCCTGGATTCACAACTGAACAATCCAAATTCTTCTGAATTGTGACAGTGGTAGACCGTATCACATGAGCCTATTATGCTGTGAGTGATCCCCTATAGAACATCTGGGTCCATGCCAATTGAACTCCTAACTCCTGGCCGGTTGTGCCCATGAGAGGCCCCTTTCGGGTAGTGAATAGAAGACTTAGTCATATGATATGAACCTTTTCTATACTCAATGCAATCGGTAGTGGAGAAGTTGGTGATCAAGTGATCATGAGACCGGCTCCTTGGCTTGTTGGCCCAACACATAAACACATGCCTCTTGAGACTTTGGAGAACTGCGACCTCCCAACAGGTGAGTTGAACCAACATCCTCCAATCGGCAAACACCAGCGAGAGAGTAGATTGGCAGGTGTTACCACTACACCACCACTCCTCCCCAGTAAGAAGGAGGGTGTATAGGCAAGTTGAGGTTTACCAACAACAAGCAGATCCATATCCATATCCTTTGAACAAGAGGTCCAAGGAGGTGGAGGTGTGTCAGGGCACACACCCTGACTAGCCTGGACGACCCGCTTCCACCTGCCGCGCTTCCCACACAAGCACACGCTCCGCATGCCGCATGCTCCAGGCCCAGTTCCTACCCCTTCATGTGACTTCTGGGAATCCCCGGAAGTTTTGCTGATATTGTGGCCACTCTGGGAAGATGGGAAGTTAGCTTCCTTCTCATCTTCTTACCCACAGTAGGTTGTGCCCTGGATAGGGCTGGTTACACCAGTAGGCTGTGGACCATAGGGGAGGGTCATGGGGACCCAGGAGTCATCCCCTGACAAGGTGTGGTAGTGGAGGTCCAGAGGTGATGTGGACATAAGTGGAGAGAGTTGAAGGAGGAGCCAGTCCTAGGGTCGTTGGAATCGACCAGAGGCAGCAGAGAGAGATTGGGAGGGCTGGTGGAGGTCATAGGAGTTGTATAGGAATAGGGTGGAGGGAGGTGGAAGATCCGGGATATGACACACTCAGACAGATCAATTATGGTTTCAGTAACTGAACCACCCTATGTACATGAGGCAGATGAGCCTGAGTCATCCATAAGAACACATTTCTGTAACACTCCATCTTTACAATCAATCTACCATCCCTATCCTAAATCCCTCCCAATCTACTTGGGCAACCACTTTGACCATTCTGCTGATTCTTGAGCACCATTAAAAAATGGTTTTAAGTTCTGAAGGGCATGCAAACTCTGCCTGCTCTCTGCCCGAGGAAAGTCCTGAATGATGGTGTGATCTGCAAGAATATGCTGGTAATAGGGCTCAACAGCTGGCAAAACTGCCACAAATGTCTTTGAAGTGCAGCCATGAGCAACAATTTCATAGTGGTGGTCTTCCCAGTGTGTTTTGTCCACAGAGCCATAAGTCTCACAATTTCTTGCTTCAGCAACAGCCACAAGCCCATCATTCCCTACTTGCTCATCTCCGAGCTCAAAAATGATTGATATTACTGGCATCTTTTCATCTGGAATAGTGACCTGGCGAGAAATGTGGCAGGGTCCAGTCTTTTTGCGATTCTTGAATTGCAAGTTGATTGCTGATGTTGACTTTGGTAAGATGGATGCAGCCAGTGGACCCATATGAACAGGAATAACAGCATCAATCAAATTCTGATTGTCTTTGGCTTGGAGAGCCATGCCACGCAGCAGAGCTACTGCCAGGTTTGGAGCAGACAGCATTTCAGAATCTTCTGCCAGGGCAAAATGGGAAAAGAAGATATAAGACTCTGCAAATGCTGTTCCTAAGGTGGGCACATCAGCCTTGGCTGTCACTGAGTGGGCACCCAATATGATGTCATGGAAGATGTCATCTGTAAATAGAGCTTGGAGAAAGCTGAGGACATGGACAGGTTGATGAAAATATGGGTTGGAAGGGTGGTTGCCAATTGCTCTTGATTGAGAGTGTTGCCGTTTCAAGGCAACATCATGTGCAATGGTCACAAGAAGCCGACCACAGAGTTCCCCATGCTCTCCCTTTGCAAGCAGTCCTTTTTTGAAAGCCTGAGCTAGAATTTCTGGACCATGCTGTTCTATTCCACCATGATCAAAAGGGTAATTCAGGTGCCTTGCTGCAGCCTCTGCGAGTATAGGTTCAGAGGGTGATCCAGTATGCATAAACTCGCAATGCTTGGGGATGGCATAAACAACACGCATGTGTGACTCAACAAGTTCTGATTCCATAGTCATGGAGGCTTGAGTTGTATGGTCAAAGGTTATCCCAATGCGAACCCCCAGAGCGGCAATGAGAGAGTGGAACATTCTTGCTTGGTCCCCTTGTGCAACCAATTTGTCTCTGGCCAATGATATAACAGGCAATCCTCCACTCTCCACCGAGTTTTTGTGGTGGACATACCATCTGTTATGGATCAGTCAATTTTGTCGCAAATTAAGTAGTTAGACACTTACAGGCCACGTCCGAACCCAGCCATCACATCCGTTTGGCCCATGTTTTCAAGGCTGCAACTTTTATTCTGGCATTTCAAAGATTGAAATACTTTGTCCACAAATATGTCGAATGGCAGCTCAGTGAAAGGAGGGAAGGGGCAGGGGCCATGAGAAATGCGAACTGATGGATGGCTGATGCACATGGGAGCGAATTTCTGGAGACCGGAACTTGTAGATAGAAAAACGAAAAAAACGGGGAATTCTGTCAGCTCAGACAGCACTTTGCCAAGGTTCTGATAGGGTGAGTGACGGCGTGTCCGATTCTGCATCTCCAGTAGGATGGATTCAGTAAGCTGGTGGGCTTCATCAAAGTAAACGACGCATTTGACTTCTTCTGTTCTCTGATCATTACCAGAGATGGTCCTGACAAGGATGCGGCATGACTCCTTCATTTCAGCTATGCAGAGGACCAGTTTCTTTTGGACTTCTGCATCTAGCCCCGACCGGATCTTCCCAAGAAATTCAGCAGGTGGCAGCAACCATTAGTGCCTCCAGAAATCACCTTCATTGCCCGATCCACCACAGAATCCAAGAACTCCTTCCTGTTCGTACCAACTTCCCTATCGGTCCGTCCTTCGTTGAGATAATTAGCCCATTGCCATGCTAGCGCTGCTCCTGGTTCGAAGATGGATTTCTCAAGGAGTGCGGTGGCCTTTGTGAATAACAGGCTCAATATAATTGCATACTCTGCCTGTAAGCGAAGATCGCTTTTCATCTGATGTCCTCGAAAATAATCGCGAAACTTCTTGTCTGGAGGAGGATAGGCTAGAGGCAAAATTAACATCCTCGATCGCAAATATTGAATTTGCGATGGAATATTGCGCACCTTGAATACCATCGCCAAGCTCCTCGCGGATATTGATTGGGATCGTAAATACGGAAAGGGCAGCTTCCGAGACCATTCTGGATTTCCCCATACCCGAAGATTGGATGACTGGCAGAGACCAACTGTATGGTCTCTCGCATGACCGCCAATAGTCATTCAATATATTGACGAGTAGCTGGGGCGTCTCTCCCTGGTAGGGTTCTTCAAACGCTGATTGAAGGGCTGGTGCAGCCCGTCAGGATGAGTAACTCAAGACAAACAGGTGCTTACCATAAACACTAAGACTCCCCGGAAACCTGCCGATCTCCTGATTGGTAAGGCCCCTTAAGAAGGGCATATCGACTAGCAATGAAATTACATACTATCATACCACCAAAGAGCGAACATAACTTACCAAGGTTGAACAACTTTGAGAAAGACTTGCAGCCGTATGCTGCAACAAGCTTGGCCCATAAATTTGGGTTGCCCTCAATGTATCCAACACATGTGTCCCTATCGGGAGCTTCGGTACCGGTGGGTAAATATGTTAAGAGCATGAGTTCCAATAATATGATTGGTTCCAGACGTGCAGCTTGAAGTCTTTGTCCGAATGTGCCAGGATTTGTAGTTCTGTAATGATTGATCGCCTGGATAATACGAGTGTTGAGCGGCTGGTCTCTAGCAGCTCCGTATTTTGGGTCGACGTCCATTGGAGTACTCATAGGGAACTGAGTGATTTCGTCGGGATTCGACGCTTTTGCCAGATGGGCAGCGAAATATGTTGCCGTGACAATGATCTGACGTCGATTGAACGGTAAGCACTGTTGCGTCATCACGCGACCAGGGACAACTTGGTGAACCGTTGTTTGTTTACGTAATTCCCGCTGCTCTGTAGCGGGTCTTGCGTGCTGAATACCTGGGCACCGTTATTGGTTTTTCCTCATCTTTCTGACACTCGATATTAGCTCATCATGCTTTTGCCCACGACAATTGCGAGAAGAGTCACTTGCCGACCCCCCCAGCCAAGGGGCATGTGTTGCCCACCGCTCTCAACATCCTTCTCGTGATTTTTTTTTACTACCTCCTGTCCTCTCACGCCTTGCACGCGCTTTTACACACCATCTGCATCGCTCTTCTTGCTGTTGACCCAGACCAAACACTACCCTCTTCCGAAAACTGCCGTGACATTTTGCTTACATTCACCTCCAATTCCCCAATCGTTTCACACTCTGCGCCACTCTGTTTCTGAGCCGATTCGCTAGGGTTTCTCCTTCGTGCTCCCGCACTTAGTATCATCACACGTTGATTGTCATTGCATTGTTGGTCGAGCTTGTGAGGCATATGCCCCTCTCGCACCTGCACCGCGGAGTGACATACCTATAGGATAGCGCAATCCTCCAAGGCCACTGTCCAAAGTCGAACTTGAGAATCTATAATTCCCAACTGAGGAAGAGTAAAGCATTACTTTACTAGGTATCAATTGGCACCGGTCCTATTCATTGGCCACTCGCCCAGCGTTCCTTCCATGCCTCCTCGACAGGAAGTTTCTCCGCCCTGCGACGTGCTCCTTCCTTGGCCAGCTAGTCCGCGCGTTCATTTCCTCTTCGAACTCTATAGCTCCCAACTTGAACCATTGCTTTACTAGGTATCACTGGACCTATTCATTCGCCACTCGGCTTCCAGCGTGGTCAGTGCACACTTACTTTTCACATTCGCGAGGGCATTCTTATGCTTATCATACCATTATGCCGGCCCCTCTCATTTATCTTGCACCATCGTGCTGTGATTTCTTCGCTTCTCGGCATCCACCAATTCCCTTGTAACGATTGGAACAGAGTCTCGCACGCCTGGGACCGAGTCAAATAAGCTTGCAAAAGTTCCGTCTGCCCCGCTTGAAATACAGGCACCATCGCCCTATGTTAACTATGGCGATTGTGTTGCCTTCCTGACTTTCAATCAATCGGATTACTGCTTATGAGTGCAAACCCGACCGAGCACTGATCAGTTGATCCGGGGGATCATCACTCGTGTTCGTTGTGAATACCATTTCCACTGGCACATATATGCGGGTGACGTAACAACCAAGCCTTGGCAAATGCAGCACATATTGTGAAAAGTGAAAGTGGAGTCACTGCCAGTTGCCACTGGGGTGGAGAAGAGCTGCATGCAAAAAACCTGAATGCATGGGTCTGTGTGTGGTATGTCAACAAGCTAACCCATCATGCTTGTAGAAGTAACGAAACTAGTACAAACCCAACATGACGAGGCAAGAAAACCAGAGGAGAATCCACGGAACCCTCGTATCGATAAGCGGAGAAGAGAGAATTTGATTGGGTGGACGTGCATCCAGGAACCAGAAACGGGTCGTGGAAATACATATGCTGGAGTTAAGTAATCACTAACATAATTATTATACGAAATGTCTCCACATCGTTGAGTGAGAGGGGTTTTCAGACCTGCGATATGCGATCTGTATGCCTGCGCTGAGTATCGTCGAAGAGACGTTTAAGAAACGGGGAGTATGCATGACGTTAGAACTCGAGCAAGGTAGTAGTCACCAAGCGGAACTGAATACTTTTGTGCGGAAGAGCCTTGCAAATGGCAGCTGTGGAGATGGAAGCGACTCGTGGCACTGGCTTCAAAGCAAGGAAGCGATCAGGGCGAGGAGCTCGATGATATGTGATAGAGTCATCCAAAACACATAAGCACGTTGTGTGCTTATTATTATCGACATGATCAACACCCTATGGAACTGTGTATAATTAACAGCCTAGGATTAAATCAAGAAACCACGGGCTCTGGTGGTCAGACATGTAACATTGACACCGCCGAGCAATTGACTTGACGTCTTCCCCTGGCCGGCTGCACCAGCACAACCATCCGATCACATTGTAAGTGGCTGAATACTTTTGCTTTATTTTCGTGTATTTAGTTCGAGACCCCCCTTTCGTCTGAAAGTTAAATATCAAGATCTACACACACCATCGAAACCCATCCCATTTTTCGACACCGTCACCCAAAATCGGCCAGCACAACGCGACAACTCAAGCAGTAGGAGTTAACCTCGTCAGAACGCATGAGAGCACTCGAATCGGACTATTTTCTCACTTTATTGCCTTTCCGGTGTGTGCGCGCATATTGTTGCCTTTTGGGTTTGCCTCTCACATAAAACGGGTTCATGTTTGAATCCGACACATATAGGCGGCCGGACACACAGAATCCCTCCCGTGGACATCTCAATTACAACTTCACCAACCAAACTCTTTCCTTCCAGAGCTGGGTGCTGTAGCAGTAGTTGTCTGTAAAGAGCTTACTCTCAACGCACATCTTGCGCCTGTACATCCAGGCACAGTCATTTTCCCACCTAGTCAATTACGCCATGGATTCCGCCTCGTCAGTTGTGATGGAAGCCTTATGCACAATCCAGGGTGTTCGGAATCTTAGTCACCAGTTTGGTACCAAGATTCTGATTGCACGACGTGGCTACTCCGAGGCCTATCGTGCCGAATGGTTCCAACCTGACACCCAGGCTCCAGTGGATGTATGTTCTTTTGAACTGACATGTTGACTGTTCCGCTTCACTTCTTCCATTAAGGTCTGCTACAAAGTTCTCAGACCACCCATCAGCAACATGCCGTCTGTCGTGGAGGAAATAAGGAAATCCATGAAGGTGAGGGGCCTTTTCTAGCTGGATCGATAGCAACGAAGGCCCACGCACTGCTTCAGCACCTGAAGAGAGAGATGAAGACATGGACCATGGAAACATTGTGGAATTCATCGGTTTTGCAATTGAAGTTCGCGGTGAAGTACCAGAAGCGGCGTTGGTGTCCGAATGGTGCTCAAATGGTAACCTTGTTGAATATCTGCATGAAAAACCGACCTGCGATCGGCTGCCCCTGGTGAGTCGATCATACTAGTCATTTGGACCGAAGATGCATATTACCGAATAGCTTCTCGATATCGCTTGTGGTCTGGCCTACTTTCATGAATGTAAACCTGTTGTAGTCCACGGCGATCTCAAGCCTGCAGGTCAACACGCACACGAAGTCGATTTAAAATAATCGATACCATATAGCTTAACATATTAACCAGCAAAGCCGGGCGTGCCAAGTTGTGACTTCGGGCTATCTTTGATTGCGGATGGATTGACGACAGGGTATACATCGTCGGGGCCTGCATTCACGTTGCGCTATTGTGCCCCAGAACTTGTCGACAGTGGTAACAAGACGACTTTCGGTGATGTTTACTCCTTTGCATCACGGTGAGCCGTTGTGCTCCAACGTAAACATCGTTGCATTTGACTGACTTGAGCAGATACTTTTTAATCAAGGTCCGTTCCCTTCGCTTAAGTATGATGCTCAACTATTGGATGTGTTAGAATCCGGTCGACCGCCTTGGGACTGGAAGCAATCTTCTCTAGTGGAGAAAATACTGTCGAGTTGCTGTGCAGTTTCTCCTTCTGCGCGAACGATGATTGGGGAAGTCTTTCGATCACTCGTGGATACCTGTGCCAAGTTAAACTCATCTTCAAGCTTCGAGATGCCTGACGTTAAAACAAAACTGCCGCCGCCGCCGGGGTTCACCGACGGGTCGGCGGATTCGTTCTTCGCCCTGAGTGGAGATCGCACGGATCCGAAACCCGCAGCATCATTGAAAAGGTGACCATTAAGGCTGATGGACAAGTAGCTCCTGTTTCTGCTTCTCCCGACTTTCAAAATGGCATTTCTGGTGAGAAACAGAAACAGGTTCAGCCGTTGTCGAAGATGAGGCCCGAACTCTTCCACACCAGAGTTGATGAACAAGTAGCGTCTGTTGCCATTTCCCCTGAGGCTCAAGACGGTGTCCTTGGGTTGGAGCCGCTGCCCGGCCTGTTGCTGGCACATGTGTCACCCGAATCCCTAAAGACGGTGCAGACGGGAAAAACAACTAGACAGCCTGATACCATTGACACGTCTGTTGCGCACCCAAAGCTCTCTCCTCCATCAACTTGTCCGTCATCCACCATATCGCTGCAGCAAGAGGCTGAAACTCCGGGGCAAAAGATCAATGATCTCGCAGCAGGGGGGGACCTGGCGGTTTTAACTCTTAGAGGTATTAATACTACCGCAAATTGTTCAGACTATCTAAATCCTGCGCAAGGAGGATTTTATCATCAAAACTTATGTGCACGATAATCTTTTAGTCGTAATATTACTATTTTGTAATGCGCGTTATGACGTGTACATCATGAACCTATGTCCTGTTGGGCACCCATAGATAGTGAATCGTCCTTGAATACGGTGCGAGACCAGGATCCCCTGCGATCTACAATTGCCCACCGTGGATCCACCTTCCCAACCCTGAGTCGGCCAACAACGGCACATACAGCGTTTAGATCCACAACCTCGACATATGAGGAGACCGATTTGAAATATGTCAATTCCGAGGTTGCATCGTGTCCTTCGGTGTCCAGTGTTGTGATTACAGCAAGAAGGTGTATTCTTGGCTCACCATTCTTTGAAACCCTATTTGGTGGAATGGCACATTCAAGTATATATTCGAGGCGACCATAAAAGACCCGCCGGACGAACTCGGGCTCGGCCTTGGGGAGATGTGCTTTGATATCGATGTTAAGTTCATACTATGTGGATATATCTATGTGTATAAGCGATGAAGGGAATCCTAGTGATGCATCAATATGGTTGGACATACCCGGACAAAAGATGCGTCGCGTAAATTCCGTTCGTTCACACTTGCACTGTGAGCGATCGCCCCACGAATAAGATCCCCACCATTTCCAATGCGAACTTTGGTCCAGCGCGGCATTACTTGCGGGATGAGCTCCAGCCAGAAGCTCATTGTACCGCCAAACGACGTACGGAGTTGCTTGGCAACTTTTTTGCGAATGGAAGGCTCAGGGATATGGGAGCGCGTGACTGGATTGCGTAAGAATGAGATAGGATCTGTTGAAATTATCTTGAAGCATAAGGACATCGGTAACACAGAACAATAACGCACAATCAGATTGGGACAAATACTTCTCATGTTGCGAGGGAAGGTTTTTGTCGGGGTTGATTGGCATGAGATCTGTAAGGTTGAATCGGTTAATGATCTCGAAGAGCTGAGCTGCCTGGTATTGTCGTAAGGCGATGGATGTGAACGGTTCCCTTCGGGATTTGATGCACGGGAGCAATGACCCACACCACCTTTCCATAATGAATGTCCAATTATTACAAGGGGGTCCATTGTTGCGGATATCAAGAGGGATGTGAAGGAGAGCGTGGACAGTGAGTGGGCATGCGGACAGTCGTTCGGAAGAAAACTGGTAGTAGATACTACATGGTAGATAACCACTGACCTCAGCTCATCGTTAGGCAGAGAAATAGCGTCAGGGTTGCTTACCTCTCATGCTCTTTCACATACACAATAATGTCGTCTTCAAGTTCGATTAAATCTTGCTCTGTGAAAGAGTACTGTATCGTGCGTTTGAGAATCGAGTTGAACTTCATAAAATGGTGATAATATTTTGGTCTGTTGAATCGGCCTCGCAAGACATAGGGTGCGATATGAATCATCCAACAGGACCAGTCTTCGGCAGTGAATAAGTGTCGCTCAGTCCAGATGTTAGGAGTGCGATGACCAAAGCTTGAGGGAATTGTGTCACCTGCACGAGAGGTTTCCTCCCCGATCTGCTCCCACACATTGTCGGGGATGCGGTAGTGCTCTTTTCCCTCGTCCAGATCCTTGTATCTCCCTTGCCAGAAGGAGACAAGATTTTTCGAGTGATTCTCCAGACACAGATGCATCCAATCGCGAGGGAAGGAGCGGGTGATTGAGATTGATGGTAGCTCAGTAAGAACACATTTCCCATTGATGCCAGATTCGCGCTGGACTCTGGCCAAGTTGACTTTACGTCCACCTCTGAGGGAATCAAGTGTCGAGATAAATGAGAAATATTTTGATTCTGTACGGAGTAGGTGACTTTGAGAATCCCAGTATGTTCCATTTCCCGTAGGCTGGTTACACGGTGGCGTATGAGAAACATAGTAGGTCTTGCTCCCTGAGAGATTGCGAGTACCCGTGATGTGACAAATCGAACATGGAGTAATACCATTTGGACCTTTGAAATTCATGATATGCTTCATTGCTACCATATCGCCATGACATGATATCGGGTAAACATGGAGCTTAAAAGTTTCGTTCGAGTGAGAGTCAAAAGCCCAGTCGCCCTGCGCAAGTAATTTGCATTCATCAACAAAAGGCCGGAGAAAGGAATTAAAATCCTTTGGTGCATTAGGACCTGGAACAACTGCCACTGGGATGACATTTGAGAGTTTCGTACGCTCCTCTGGGGGGAGGTTGAGGTTAATCGCGATTATTGGCCAACATACAGCACCACCGTTGCGCGAGCGCTTAAAGATCTGGAATCCATCAGCCATAATTCCTAAGGCAACATCGCGTGTGTCACTAAAGAAAACATGGCCAAGGGGCTTCCCATCTATTCGTACGAGCCGACTAAGCAGGAAGCGGTAGTGATCTCCATCAAAGACATCGCTGGTGGTGGCGCCGTCAAGTTTGAGTTCACCACGATATTGGAGAATCTTGGAGAAGTGGTTGTTGAGATAAAGCGATTTAATTCGTGGACCAACAGGAAGGTAGTGGAATGTTTGAAATGCAGTGCCATTAGATTTGAAGCGAGGATGTTGACAGTATGGACATGAATGGAGATTCTCAAATTCGGCGATAAAACAGCAGCAGCTGTTAACACAGCAGTCATAGGTGTATTCTATGACATGAGAAAGCCTTGACACGTAGGAATGGAGCTTGTATAAGGAGGCAAGGTTGAGTTCACTCTTGAAGCGAGATCGGATGAGATCGTAGGTTGTGTTGGAAAGATCGCCTCGCAGCAATACATCAAACATCTTCAGGTGGATATGGTCAATTTCAGATAATGGTAGGTGGTCTGTAATTGTGTTCATCGGTAAATAACATAAGGGAGATATCTGCTTGACACACACAGAAGTCATTGTGGCAACGGAGTTCAGCATCGGCCTTGTATCTAGCAATGGCCTCCACCCAATCATGGAGAATACTTGGGCTGACATCTTCGAATCCATCTGAGTCAGAAAGATCTTGGCCTCCTAGGTCATCGGAAGTGGCGTTGTCACTGATAGGTGAGTTAGAGGCAATGAACCGTCAGATGGAGTATATCACTCACATATTCCCAAAATCCCGGGTCCCAGTAGGTGAGACAGCATCCAGTTGGTTTCCCATCCCATCTTCATTCATCGCGCTGTCCCCTTGGTTACTCTCAATTTCATCTGAAGGAACAGCAGCGGCTCCTTCCCAAGCGCCAAGATTTCCTGTAGGCTCCTGGGACTGCACCATAGCATCGCATCCCAAAAGACGTGCTCTCTCCCGCTTGCGCCGTCTACAAGCTGTACTAAGTGAGTGCCTGCAAATTCTCCAGGGTGGCGCGCCAGAGTGGCCGTGGTCCATAGGGGTGATGGAGTCCTTAGTTTGGATGCAGTACCAGATGAAAACACCAGATGTAGAGTAACAGAGACCCAATAGTGGTTAAAATGTCACAACTGAGGGAAGAGCAATGAGTTGGGCAAATAGCACTTGGACGCGTTGTGTGAATATGTTTGGCATTGTTTATGTTGACTCTCGGATTTCTATCTCACACTCCGTGACTTACATCTCCTACACAACTCACAAACTATGCCTCGCCCTACCCAGAAGCGAACCATCTCCCAGATTGATCAAGAGCAGAGGAGGCTGGAGGCAGAGCGTGAAGGTGTGCCCTTTCTCTGTGCCCCGTGCTGTGTCTGGTTCAGGCTCGTGCTATGCTATGGCATCTTCATGTCGGTAGAGCTCCTAGCAGAAGATAACGCGTGTAAGGAGCCATTTAAACAATTTATTTGTCTTCAACAGCTGACTTGAGTCATACAGCACGAAAAAAACGCGTCCAGGGCCAGATTCCAATGCCGCATGGCCGACCCGATCGTTCAAATGGAGGGTATTCCCTTGCTAAGGAAATGCAGATAGACAAGCATATGATGACTCTATTGCGTGTAAGCTCTCTCATATCATCAAATTATTGAATACTTAAGACTTCAGCTTCAGGAATCCGTTCGTACCACAGTCCGTACCCACCTCGGAAAAGCTTTCCTAGATGGGGAAACAAGGTATAACAAAATTGGCTTTCAGCGCCTGGGCGCAATAGCAATCGATGTAAGTATCCTAGTCATTGCTACATTGCAATCCTGATTCTGCATTTTACAACTTAGGTGATGAAAGAATTTCCATGGCTTGAACGCGACTATGAAGATGTGTGGCCCCTTGATCCACTAATCAGGACAACGATTGAGAATAGGAAGACTGTTCTCAGGAGACGGAAAAGGGGGGGTAAATATGGTATGTAACATGTATACTTTTTCCACCAATCTATTCCCAAAAATCTCCTCGGAAGGTGAATCTGTAAAGGGTAAGTCATCGTCCACTTTTCCTCATAGTTATGCAACTGATTCAGCATGTTGGATGTGAGATGCACTTAATCATGGTGCTGCAGCGAACACCAACAGGACCCAGTCACACAGACCTGCTCAGCACAACATGCCCAGTACCAGTGAAGGGAGTCGTGATGATGATGGACGCAGTAGGGCGCTGGGACGTGTGCAAAGGAAGAGTAAGTTCCTGGCCCCTGTTTATTCAGATTAACATTATTATAATAGGAGTTGTGCCACGACGGCGCATCATCAATGACACTGATGAAGATAGTGATGAAATTAATGACAAAGATATGGAAGATAGCGGCAAGGGTTCCGACTGTGGTGAAGATGAGAATGAACAAAGTTGTCATATCCGTGCATACCCGACCCCGACCCGACTTCCGGACCTCCACCCTCTTCACCTCCGGAGTCATAACCTACCGCTGCCTTTCCGATACTCACCTTCGGTCTTGGCAACACACCCCTCCTCTTACCTCTCCGACCCCTTCTCCGTCCGTTCCGATACTCATCTCGGACCGAACATCGCCCTACTCGCCACCCTTCCTACAACTCCGCTTCCCCCTCACCACACCTCCACCCTCCCGTCATCCCCTATGCTTTCTCCGTCTGTTCCGATATCCACCTTCGGACCTGACTACTCTTCCTTACCTGTCCCCTCTCTCACTCCTCCGCCACCCTTCCGCCAAGTTACGACCATCCACCGCTGTTCCGTACTTCACACTCGGACACCGTTCGTACCTTACTCCGAGCCTCCGTCATAGTCCATACCTCGGACTTTGACTCCACCTCGGTCTTAGTCCATTGCATTGGTGACCTCATACTACGTGAACACCATTGCCAATATTCCTTGGACTTCCAACCCCGCCTCCGTAACCTCCGTAAGCTCTGCAACCCCCGAGCTTCGCGGACCGCCTCTGGCACTCTCGCCGTTTGTAATGTATTTCTCGCAATTCCCCCTCATCCCTATTTGGACTACTGCTTCTTTCTATTCTAGCCAGTTAGTCATCACCCCCACTTCCCCTCATCCTCCTGCCCCTCTGGGCCTCGCCCACTCTACCTCCTTTCGGTTGTATCACAGGTCTTGCCCTATGACCTTCGGTACCGCTCCGCTCCCTCTAACCCTTTGTTCCCGTTCGGACGTCTTCGTTCCGATTTGGTCACCCTTTGTTCTCCTTGTGCTTTTGCCCCTTCCTTATATATATATATCAGCGCTTGTACATACTCGTCTGGTTTCAGTCCGAAATCGACCTGAAATGCCCCCAAGAGACTTCCTGCTCACCTACTGTGAAATTAAGGACCAAATGGACAAACAGCAATGGCACAGCGCTCCGCTTGAGTCGCTGAGGCCAAGGTCCCTCCACGCTAAGTCTCCGATTCCACTCCGGAGTCGTCCGTTTCCGCCCATCTCTAACAAAAGTGATGTAGGTCCCAATTTCCTCAATTACAACAAAGGGAAGCGCTGAAAACAGGCTCAGGGTGAAGATCACCGAGCTACACCCAAGAGCACCAATCAGAGGTCGGATGTGAAAGGAAAACAAGGTAAGTTATCATTGGTCTCTTTGCAAGCCTGGTTAGCACAACAGAGGAAATATGTGGAGCCGTCCCAAGACCCAAATGTAAGTGCCATTCCACATTAAGCTGGTCCACTGCCATAATCCCAAGCTAGCCCGACCCCTTCGTCGCAGGGTCAGCATCAGTGAGAGCATGGATCAATCCCCACAGACTAGTTGCGCTGATAGGAATGGGCATGTAGATGGTAGGTTCATTTACTCTCCCTATCTGTCGTTTCTGAAGATCTTCAAGTTGGATACCATCAAACTATCGTTTCAACCTCAAAACCTGTTGCCACTAGTAGGCCATCGGCAAGAAACCGCAAGATCGTCACCCATTACTAGGTACATTTTTACCCTATATAGGTGGGCGCTTAGCATTTTGTTGTGGTTGTGTGCTTCTCTCACGGGTAACATTGCTAGCTACTAACCTTATGTCGCACCGATTACCACACTCCCAACAATCTCTTACTCGATTTGCTCTTAACTCTCTGCTATTCACTTCGAAAATTTTCCGCTGCTCGAGTTCCTGACACCACTACAACTTCATACCTTCTCCCTTTCGATTGTCGTCTCATTTGTTGCTCATTTGCTGTGCTCTAGTCATGTTGTCATACCATCGTGTCGATAGCTCAATATAATCCTTCGTCCAGTCAGACATAAGCAATCAGTAGACAGGATTTGACCTTTTTTTGAGCATGACTCCCTACAATAACATCATGAATAATTGTAGGATAAACCGACTATTCCCCGTTATGTAGCAGGACTTTTCGACATGATTCTGGTCACAATCATGTAAGACAGCGGGATTTCTCTAACATGACAAATTTGGACAAAATCCTGCTTCTCAATGGGATTCTAGTCCTACTTCACGGAAGATTTTCTCATGGAATTTTTTTTCTCAGTGAACGTACCCCACAGACCACACGGGTAGTCTCCTACTCGGACTACACAAGTGCAATCAAACGCATATTCCAAGGAAAACCCAAGAGCACGCCCGGTCCTTCAGGAAAATGGTCTATAATGACAGCGATGACCTCAAAATCACAATTAACTAGTGCTCCGGCCACTGCATGCGGCATCAGGGGAAACGAACGCACGGACAAGCTGGCCGAGGAAGAAGCATGTCTCAGAGCGGAGAGACCAAACTTCCTGACCCCGTCCCACGTAGAGCGCCCACACAAAGACATCGAGGAGGCATGGAAGGAATGCTGGGCATCCACAATATTACCATTTACTGGGGTTACTGTACATGATATGCGCCTCAAATTGAATGCACATGGTAGAGTACATCAATGATGCATGATGGTACATCTATTCTATGGGGCCAATCTACTGCAAGTTAAGAAAGCAGAGGTGTGATAAGAGAGGAAGTCAAACACGTGTTTGACATGACAGCAATGGACTCTAGCGGCATTAATACTTGGAATGCAACAAGGACCGTGGACTGCGTGCCTTGTCTGGTGCAGCAGTGGAATGGATGTACGCTAGGAGACCAATACGCGTTGAACTACCCAGCTTAATAATAACACAATCGTGATTGGGAACCCCTGGCGATGAGACACTTGGAAGCGAGGTTCATGATCCAATGGCTGGCGCCTGAGCGTCTTGATTGTAAATTCTGGCAGTCACCAACCCTTCAGCGCTATCGAGGCACTTGTACCCAATACGGTCAGGCCATTGCTGAGACCGAACAATCCCCTTTGCGTCTGCCGGCAACGCAGGTACGGGCCGTTTGGGGGAGGGGTCGACCTGTTGAATGCAAGTCCGCACCATTCATTTGGAAGGAATGATAGCCACTCACGTCTAAAAGTGCAAGAACCCATTCTTTCGTAGGTATAGTGAACCACCTTGACTCCTTATCTGTGAACCATGCGACATGACCACCTGCATGTGTACTCGCCATCACAACATGGCTACTGTTCTCAATTTCCTTGTGCAGCAAATTACGAGGTGCAACCATTGGATCGTCCTTCGAATGAAGCGTCAGGCGAGGAATCTTGATGCCCGGTATCCACTGGTAACTGCTCGCTTGCGTATAATATGTTGGAGGAACCGTGTGCGAGTTTTCGTACAGCCACCTTCCCACATCCGAGTGAGGAACTCGCCCGGACAGCCACATTCCTGCGGTAGCGTGACTACTTGGTCACAACACCTTTTCTTCTTACTTATTTTGGTCACTTCGGACTTATCCGCGAAGGCCACAAACCTATATTCAATCTTTTGAATTAGTTTCCTTTTTCCTCAGTTCTCGCCCATATAGTGAGACTGAGGTTAGTTACCTTTCTTTCTTTCTTATATCTTATAACTCATTGTATATTACCTTATAGCTTTAGCATTAGGTAATATTAATAGTTCTCATGCATAGAGTGAGACTGAGCTAGAGCAAGCAGTTATTCCGTTATAATCCTGCACATTGCAAAATTTGTTCAACAGAGCCATCACACGGTCATCAAACCATTGAATGGTGACATATTGTTTGGAGTATATGTCCCTAAGATCAAGGTGTTTGTTGGTTTCAAATGCATATTGTTAGAACAGGCAGATTCGGACAACTCCAGAGTGGAATCGGAGACTTAGTGTGGAAGGACCTCAGCCTCAGCGACTCAAGCGGAGCACTGTGCCATTGCTGGTTGTCCTGGGGGTCCCTAATTTCAGATCTAGCAGAGGGAAAGTCTCTTGGGGGGAATTCAGGTCGATTTCGGACTGAGGTTACAAGTTACTATGTACATTGTATATAAGGAGGGGTCCGGAATCAAAAGGAGTGAGGGTACTCCGAAAGGAGACAAAGGGAGCTGAAAGGAGGGGCAACACCAAGGGTCAAGGGTTTGACTCAATGGTGTTTCCCAAAGGAGGAATGAAGGGCCAAGGCCCAAGGAGGATGGGAGTGGGGAATGGCCAGCTGACTGAATAGAAAGGAAGCAGCAGCCCAAATAGGAATGAGGGAGTATAGCGGAATTCAATGGAGCAATGCAATAGTTGCAAGGTCCGACATAAGCCTGGAAAGTCTGAACTCGGAAGTTAAACTTCGGAATATTGGCAAACGTAATTAAATGGAATGAGCTAACCAATACAATGGGTATAAGCGGAGGTGGGGTCAAAGTCCAAGGTCGGAGCTAAGACCAGAGGTTCCGGAGACGGAGATGTGAATGGGATTCCGGAGCGGAGGTCCGGAGTCGGGAGCATAGGTGTTGCATACTCGTCTGGAAGGTGTCGAGGTTGAGGTCGGACCTGGGATGTTCCAGAGTTGGACCGAAGGTGGTGTCAGAGCCAGAGGTGGGATAACCTCTTGGGAGTCGGCAACATGCATATCGATTATTCTTGAACACTGTGAGAAGCGCATCAGTGAGGGTTGGACCATAGATGTACTTGCAGAGGAAACCCCCATTTTCGATAAAGTGTGTGGAGGTTACTCAATTGAAGGGGTTAGATATGCAAATAGCACCTTTGAGTGGGGTGTTCTACCCTTCTTGCTAGATTGAATATTAATAAAATAGGAGCTATCACGCATAACTCAGTCTTGTAATGGAGAACTAATGTATTAAGATATTGCACCTATCTGTCAGGGCACACACCCTGACTAGCCCGGACCCGGACCCACGTCCGAACCCGCTACATTTCCTGTGTGCATTCCCGCGCCGCATGCTCTGTGCGCCGCATGATCTGGCCCTGAATCCTGCCTTCATGTGACTTCTGGATATTCCCGGAAGTTTTCCTGATATGGTGGCCACTGTGGGAAGATGAGAAGTTAGCTTCCTTCTCATCTTCTTACCCACAGTAGCAAGTTGTATCTTACTTGCCTTTCTATCTATTACATCTTCTTACCCACAGTAGTAGGTTGTGCCCTGGATAGGGCTGGTTACACCACAGGCTGTGGACCATAGGGGAGGGTCATGGGGACCCGGGAGTTGTCCCCTGACACTATCGTGTGTAACTGTAACATGAAAATACAATGAGTTATGCGCAAACACAGATAGGAGGGAAATGGTATCACCTCAGTCTTGTAATGGAGAACTGAGGGAGGGAGAAAAATTACAGTGTCCAGCATAACTTATACAATTGGTGCCAATATTGCTTAAAGCAATTGCCAGTGACAACTGGTGATATAAGACAAAGGAAAAATTGGGACTGCAACTCTGAAACAAAAAGGATATAGTTGTTGTCAGCCATGATCATATTAAGGATTGGCAGAGTATTGGCTCAGCACACCCACTGAATATGCAATATCAGGATGTGTACTGAGCATCATGTACATGATGCTACCGATTCGGGATTGATAATTGCGTACATTGACTTCAGGAGCATTGAGGTGGGGTAGTTTGAAGTTGGATGTGAAGGGAGTGGAAATTGGACAAGAGTCAGCAAGACCAAAACGTGAGAGAATGTCTTTTACATAGCAGGTCTGGGATATTGAGATTAGGTGCCAGGATTGATCGCATGTGATCTCAAGTCCTAAAAACCAATGAATGTCCCCAAGATCCTTCATCTTGAAGGCCATCATGAGCTGGGACTTCTTGGCATTAAGAACCTTGACATTGTTGGATAAGATCATCAGGTCATCAACGTATAGCACAATAATGCAGAAGACATGTCCCTTCCCATGATGGATGAACATGGCATGGTCTGAATCACACTGGAGAAAGCCAAGTTTCATGAATTCCTTCTTAGCCTTCTTGTACCATTCCCATGAGGCCTGCTTCAAACTGTACAGCTCCTCTCTAACTTCCATACCACATTCTCCTTCCCATAGTCTATGCTCCCTGGTGGTGGATCCATATAGATAGTATGTTGGAGATGGCCATTCAAAAAGGCAGTCTTCACATCCATTTGGTGGACCTCAAGATCGAGTCGTGTGGCGATGGTGAGTAGGATCCGGATGGAGACCCATTTGACAACAGTGTCAGGGACAGCTCCGAAAGCGGCAAAGTCCTGGTGTGGGGGACTCAATGGGACAAGTAGCAGCTATGCATAGCGGCAGTCCCATCATGGGGTGAGCATCCCCAACCACTTAGTCTGAAGTGGGAAAGTGAGAAGAAGGCTGCTTCTTCTGTTCCCACCCCAGGTGCTATTATATACATGCGGTGTCATATCTGTACATACCCGATCCTGAACCGACTCCCGGACCCCCATCTTCACCACCTCCGGAGTCCTACCCTACTGCCATCTGTTCCGATATTCACCTTCAGACCTGACACCACTCCTCCTCTCACCCCTCATGCCACCTCCACCCTTCTGTCCTTCTCCTACCTTATCTCCATCCGCTCCAATACTCACCTTGGACCGAACATCACTCCTCTTGCCACCCTCCTCCTCCTACTCTGTCAAAAACCCGGATTGTAGGGGTAAATGCGTGAGTCTGAATGCAGGCAGGGCTCAACTAGAGGGGGGTCCGAGGGCTCCGGTAGTGAACCGAAGCTTCTCAGGGAGCCCGGTTCTGCTGGGTGGTACAAGAGGCTCTAAGAAGGATGCGGCCTCAGCGACTCGGAGGGAGCACTGTGCCTCCGTTACATCTCAGTTAGTCCTTGTATTTCTTATGTCTGAGGTATCTTGTAGAACAGGAACGGGATTCACTCAGAGGGACTTTGGGTGGCATTTTAGTCGAGATTAGAACTGAGGAACTACAGGTTCTAATCTACGGGTATTTATAAAGGAGAATGGGGAGGATTTAGTCAAAGTCCGAAATGACAAATGGGACAACACCGAAAGGTGCTGAATGATACCAAGAGGTACCGAAAGGTCCCGAACAATATCTTAAACGGGGAACCGAGGTGTTGGGCCAAGGAGGGCGGAGTTGGAGGCCGGAAAATGAATGGGGAAGACAAATGGGTAAAGGGGGTTAGCCGACTGAATGGTAGGAAGAAGGTAGTTGTGCTAAAAATGGAAGGTGACTAATAAGTGATAACGTGAGGGAGATCACCGAAGGATGCGGGTAGCTCTGAAAGCGGAGTTGCGTATCCAAAGGATGTTAGGTGACTCAAATAAATGAAGTGGGTGGAGGAATGGTTTAAGGGCATGTCACGGGATGTTGGAGGTCCATCGGAATATCGGAGCAAATCCGGGGTCTCTGAATGTTCTGACTCGGGACCGAGCTTCCGGGATGGGAGTGGCCAAGGTTCGGTGTACCACAACCAGACCGGAGCTGAGACAGTCAGGAGGGAAGGTGACTTGGGGAGTGGGGAGGCATGGTGTAGGGGATGGTGAAGTTGTTAGGAAGGTGTGGTGTGGTGGGAGTGCGCGGGGTCGGGATTCCAGGATATGACACTACTCCTCCTCTCACTCCTCCTCTTACTCCTCACGACACCTCCACCCTTCCATCACTCTCCTACCCTACTCCCATCTGCTCCTTCAGACCTGACACCTTTCCTCTCCTCCATTCCTCACCCCACTCCTCTCTCCTCTTTCTTCCCTCTGACCCTCTTCTGCTGAACCTCTGCCAAGTTACAACCTTCTGCTGCTGTCCCATACCCTGTACTCGGACATCGCTCGTACCTTTGCTCCAAGATTCCATCATAGTTCCGACCTTGGACTTTGACTCCACCTTGGCTTAAGTCCATTGCATTGGTGACCTCATACTACGTAAACACCATTGCCAATATTCCTCGGACTTTCAACCCTGCCTCTGTAACCTCTGTAAGCTCCATAAGCTCCGAGCTCCACAGATCATACTCAGCACTTTTGCTGCTTGTAATGTATCTTTCGCGTTTTCCCCTCATCCTTATTTGGACTGCTGCTTCTTCCCATTCTAGCCAGTTAGTTATCACCCCACTTCACCTCATCCTCCTGCCCCTCTGGGCTTCACCCTCACTATCTCCTTTCAGATGTACCACAGGTTCTGACCTATGACCTTCGGTACTGCTCCGCTTTCATCTTCCCTTTGTCCTGTTTGGATGCCTTTGTTCCGATTTGGATCCTCCTTGTTTCCTCATGCTTTTGCCCTCTCCATTATATACCAGCGCTTGTACATACTCGTTTTAGGCCCTTAGTCTAAAATCGACTTGAAATGCCCCCTAGAGACTTCCTGCTTGCCTCCTCTGAAATTAAGGACCAAATGGACAAACGGCAATGGCACAGCACTCCACTTGAGTCACTGAGGCCAAGGTCCCTCCTTGCTAAGTCTCCGGT